GCGCAGACACAGGGGTTAATCCATGGCTACAGAGTGGCTAGGAGAGCCCTTGCGGTTTCCCATTTATTTTTTCAGATGATAGCCTTTTATTTTTTAAAGCAAGTACTCAGGAAGCAGGGGTGATTAAACTGTGTTTAGATTCATATGAGCTGTTATCCGGTCAATCTATTAACTATCATAAGTCCAGTGTTTGTTTCAGTAAAAATACAAATGTTGACGACAGAGGGGCAGTGGTTGTGGCTTTGGGAGTTGCTGAGGCGTGTGATTTTGGAAAATATTTAGGCTTCCCTTCTTTTATTGGAAGAAATAAGAATGACAAGGTGATGAGATATAAAGCGAGTCTGTAGCCTAAGGGTTCACGCAGAAACCCATAATCAAGTATACTCTCCCATGATGAATATCATTAAAAGTTTTGCTACATAATTGGCAGAATAATAAATTTAGATATGAAGCTTATGAAAATTATGACCTAGAAATTATGGGTCATTAGACACTAATGTTTATATGAAAATCCTTGATGGATTTATAATTCTCAAAAAATGAAAGAGAATAAATATCACAACACGTTTGTTGTTAAAGTACAATTGCTTTTCAAAAATGAAAGAAAATAAATATCACAACACATTTGTTGTTGAAGTACAATTGCTTTACTCAAACTTAAAATAGTGAAGCAATTGATTGAGTAATTTCCTCTTAAAATAGGAAATTATAGAAATGAATATGTACCATTAGGTACTTATTAAGGGGCTTATTAGAGATGGAGAATCAAGTATTACATCGACCTGTAGATCGAGCATTTCCTTAAAAGGAATTTTACATTCTATTTAGTCTATGTCCAAATAATCTCTCGAAGTAGATAAGATCCATTTTTACCTAAAAGGATACTTCAGGACCAGAAGTCCGCTGCTTCAAAACGTCATTTTTTGAATACCTTTTCTTTGAGACCGAAAATTCCCAAATTCGCGTATTTTTTGTAAAGAGTGATTTGGTGATTCTCCTAGAAAGAAAAGGAAATGATGTTAAATAATATCCATTAATATCCTTAGGGTATAAAATATGTCTTTCGAGAAGTCATTTAAATATTGGCATTCTGTTAAATGCCATGACTTGGATTGATATATTATAAATCAATTTAAGCTTTAAAGCATATTAAGTCTAAAGAATAATACTTGTTCTTATAGATGTACTTTGTACATTTTCATCTCATCATTACTCTACTATGCTCTCTCTTGGTTATAACGACTGTTAAGTTATGAGATGGGATCAGGAATAGCAAGTCAAGGTACAAATATTCATATTGATGCTTTTTGACATGAAGTCATCATACTTGGACAAATGAACGTATATGGGTTTCATGATATAAACTCTAGAAGAGTGATCAAATATTTGTCCAGAAGATTTGCTCCAGTGACAAGTTAGCAAATGTACACCTACAAAATATGCATAAGATTGATATGCGTAGGTAAAGAAAATTATTATATTTAGGGGTAGCAACAAAATATAAACTATAAATAATTTTTATTGGTCCAGATGATCATGAGAAAATATGATAAAATCTAATGACAATCTTGAAGATTGTGTCATATCCTTTGATAAATTCTAATGACAATCCTGAAGATTGTACCATGTCCCTTCTCTTTTGAAACAATGATTTTACTTTAAACAATTTAGAATTTGAAGATCATTATCTTCAGGGGGAGACGAGAAGTACATTCACTCGAGTCATCTTGTAGGTTGATCAATCCTATAGATTGGGTCTTAAAAGGACTAATAGTTGCACTTTTTGCAGCGTGTATATTCATAATTCACTCGAATCAATCCTGTAGATTGGGTCTTAAAAGGACTAATGATTATAATTTTTGTAGCATATACATACCATGTACTCTTTTCCTCACTAGGTTTTTCCCAATGGGTTTTTCTAGTGTGGTTTTTAACGAGGCACGAGTATGATATATTAATTGGGGTGTCGCAAATATATAAATACTTAAATAGACGAACCCCGAAATCCTGAAGATTATGCCCTGAAGGCTTATGGTTGTACTCTTTTACCCTTAACTAAGTTTTCCCACGAGATTTTATTAAGTTAAGGTTTTTAATGAGGCAACTCGTACCATATATGATTCTGCAAATATCATGTACTATTTTCTTCAACTAGGTTTTTCCGACGTGGTTTTCCTAGTGAAGTTTTTAACGAGGCATGAATGTAATTAAATATACTATCGGTATACCTTGTACTCTTTTCTTGTTTAGGTTTTTCCCACAGGGTTTTCCTAGCAAGTTTTTAACGAGGGAAGATTGGGGCTAAATAATGTCCAAGGGGGATTGTTATAAATATATATTTAGTGGACATTATTGTGTGTAACAAATGTAACGGCTTTATCATTATTGTATCATTATTATCTTTGTATATATATATATATACATGGGTTGTTGACATGAAGGGGTGACTTTTGGTTGGTTAATGAAAAACTCTCTTCTTTTTTCTCTATCTCTATTTTTCTCTGTTCTCTACACTATCAATTTCATGTCCATTCTATTGTTTGCGAGTTCACGGTTTAGGAGCTAATGACCAACGGGCACAAACAACATTACAACATAAATGTGTTTATATGTCACGTGAATCGAACCAAAAAAGACCATTTGATTTTTTAATAATAATAATAATGATGATGAAGTAAATCCAAACTCCTAATTACAAAATTCTTAATTGTAGACCAATACCGCTTGTTCACTCCGACACTCTTTGCCTCGCCAGCAAATATGCTTGCAAAAATGAACAATGAACCTTCCACGCGAGCCTGGGAATTGATGTATGAAGTCAATATGTAGGATCTTAACTGGATTTTTAAAATTTTTTTGGGGAAACGGTACAAATAGGTCATTGAATTCGAATAACTTTCAAATTGATCTATAAATCTTAAAAAAAGTGCAATTGACATTTTTAACAGGTTAACAATAAGTTTACGCTGATTAGGAGGTCAACGGTAAATCCTCTTCCGCCTTACTCCATCACACCCTTTTTTTCATTTTCTCCAACTAGTATTTGCACTCGTGCGATGCACGGAATGGATTTTGTTACGAACACTTGTATTTGGATTTTGATGATACCAATTTAACCTAGAAAGTAGACCCCTAACCGATATTATTTTCAATCGCCGCTTTCATCCTAGACGAAAGTTGCCATAACACACATGTAATTCGTGTTAAGCTAGTCAAACACACGAAGACGAGTTATGCTTAGTTGTTAGGGTTATCAAGACGAAAGAAGACACGAAGCGTGACGCAATTGCAACGAGAGTTAACCAGGAGTTGTCACTGAGCATGAAAGGACAGTCTTATTGATGACAATCCTTCTCATCAATAGCAAGAAGAATGTCTCCACTGTCTGACTTGATAACATCCTAGGAACAAAAGGACCTCAACTTGTGGGACACGCATACCAAGGAGCATTAAATGAAGATGTACTATTTCCTAAAGCTAAAGGACAAAACCCTAAGTCTCTCCATGCCATCAATGGCTACAAGGTACAACCTCATTAATGGAGCATTTAATGCGGGAAGCTCCCCGGTCCTTACCCAGTGGACAATAGGTTTAAAAATTCATCTCCTTCCAACGGATGAATTTTTCCTCACCTATATAAACCCACCTTCACCAACTAAGAAGGTGCTAGTTCTTATCACTCGATCTATCTATAAGCAAAAGCTCTTATACGCTCTCAGTTCTCTCAAGCTTTTGTGAACCAGTGTTAAGGTGCAAAGATATTTGAAGAAGCTCATTGATACTCATCTTACACCTTAAAGAAGTCTTGCAACTTGTACGAAGCAATCATTCCTCATCAGTCAAGACTTCATCACGTTGGAGAAATCAAAAATCTTTTTCTACCAACCTCAACTCTGAAGAAGACGTTGATAGAGGCGGAGTAAACTCGCGGAGTTGAAAAACCTACGAAGGCTGTCCGGCTTAGTGATCAAGGAAGTCTTTGTGTAATTGTATTAACGAGTGATAGTGCAATCCTTCCATAAGTTGTGGAAGAAGAGTGGAGTAGGCAAAGTTGGCCGAACCACTATAAAAACTCTCGTCTCCTTATCTTCCCATTTACTTTATTTATTTCCTACATCATATCATCATCTCTCACGAAATTTTCCTTAACAACGACAATCCGTGCAAAGCAAGTAAACGAATTTAACATTTTCGCTGGGCCAAAACACCGAAAGGTTGTTTTTAGGGCAAAACACGAAAAGAGTCTATTCACCCCCCCCCCCCCCCCCCACCTCTAGACTCTCGCTACAACTCTATCGGGACCAACAAGTGGTATCAGAGCTAAATACCTTGAACGGTAAAGGCTTTGCAGTTACTGCATGGTAGATCCCTTATCAAATCTCTGAAACCTTGCATATTTTCAGCTTTGCACAATTTTTTATTTTTTTTTTGCAAAATGGAAAAGGATCATGCTAACCGCTCTAAGCAGCTTGCTTTTAGCCTCTCTAAATTTGATGACTAGAAGATAAGAATGCAGGCCCTCCTCTACACTATACATGACGAGATGTGGGACGTCATAACAACTGGACCAATCACAGTCATGATGGCAAACACACAAGCCGCAGCTTAAAGGAGCCGGTGCTGAGCAGATGATACCGAAGCCAAAAGATCAATATAACTCGGAAGAAAAGACAAGGGCAAATCTGGACAATGTAGCACGAAACATCCTCTACAACTCCCTTGACGATTCCTTGTTCCCAGAGTCCCAAAATGCAAGAATGCCATGGAAATATGGAACGTTCTGATGAATCTAGGAGAAGGTGATGAACAGGAGAAAGACAACAAACTGACTATGGCTATGAAGAAGTTTGAAGACTTCAAAATGTTGCCAAATCAAATGATCATGGACATGGAACTGAGGTTCACCAGACTCATGGGAGATCTGTCAGATCTCGGGAAGGAACTGACTGAAAAAAGAAAAGAATTTGAAGATTCTTCGTGGTCTGCCAAAGTCTTGGGAAATGAAGGTCATTGCAATGAGAGACAACCGAGACATGAAAACGACTAGCACAGCCAAGATCTTCAGTGATCTTAAGGCGTACGAGTTTGAACATGAACCGAAAGATGTCGAAGAATCAGAAACGAGAAATGTATCTCTCGTGGCCAACCAACAATCAACAACATCTAACAGGTCAAAATCTAACTCTTGTGAATTTCTATCTGATGAACAGTATGCCCTATTTGTTAGGAAGATGAAGAGGTTCATGAGGAAGAACAACTTTCAAGACTCACATCGTTCGGGCCACCGAAAGCAATACGAAAGTTCACCTCAAACCTCAAAGCTAGAAACTTCAGACTCGCAATTGCTGTGCTACAACTGTCGGAAACCAGGACACTTCAAGGCCAACTGTCCTCACCCAATAGTAAGCAAACATCAAGACAGCAACACTACCAAAAGTCCATCCAAGGAGACTGGAGAAAAATACAAAAGAAATGACAAGCCGGAATCATCAAGCTCCAAAAGCGAAAGAAGAAGAAAGGCTATGGTAGTGAACGAAACTCCTGACACTGTTGAGACCGAAAGCAGTTCCTCAAGCTCGAGTTCAGACGACGAAAGCACTGAAGAAGAAAAAAGACTGTTATGCCTGTTCAGCCAAGAATCAGAAGATCTATGCCTTATGGCTGACGAGGATGAGGTAAATTCTCAATCATCTTCTTGTTATTCAGAAGAGTCTAGTTCTGTGGGGAGTCAAACTTCCAATGAATCTGTTACCGAAATGATGAGGAGGTTCAAAGTGATCAAAAGCACATACTCCAAGCTTAAGGAGGAGAACTCTCGGCTCATGATTAGCTACAATGCGCTAAGGCAAGTTCGAGTTGAGAACATAATTCTTACCATTGCTAAAGAGCAACTTGAGAAAAATGTTCTCGCTCTAAAGGAGCAGTGCACAGCAAGAGAAAAGAGAGAGCAAGAACTGCTTGAAGTCTTGGATAAATTCAATAATTCGTCCAATTTAATGGACCGAATGATGAATGAATCTAGACTACCCGGGGAAAGAACAGGAATTGGTTTTGACCCCAGCTCCTCTTCACAAGTCAGTTTGAACAAATCCACGAATGCTTATTCTCACGAAAGCTTTCAAGCTGCATTTGTTCAAGGTCCAACCCAGGTGTCTGAGCCAATGAAGAAAGTTAATAATGATGCCACACCACAATCAACAATCCTACCGAAAGGAAAGGCTGTACAACGAATTGTGGATCCTCGAAATGAAAAATCTTACAAAGGCAATCCTAGACAACAATATGTCAAAAGGAATGGACCAAATGGCAATAGACAAAATCTAAACCATAAGAAAGGTCAGCCTTATAAGAATATTCAATCAAGGAATAGGCCGAATGTTGACCAGAGGCAATATCGTCCTAAATCAACACGAAAGAATCCTGACCAAGGAACCCCGAGAAATGGACGAGTCAGACAAACTGAAAGATCCTTCAAAAGATCTATTTATGGCAATGGATGGACTGGGCCATCAGAGGAAGATTGGTTTGATTATCCAGAACCTCTTTCTAAAGCTGAACTTCAGAAAATTCATCTGCGTAAACAAACCAATCATCTCAAGTATTATGAAAATCCTCCTCAAGAATATTTTCACGAGAGATATAATGCTAGAACCTTTTCCAAAATCCACTATGATTACCGCACATCTAATGGATATAGAGGACCAAGGATGAGTCGTGGATGCTCTAGGTTGATGTGGGTTCCAAAGTTGACCTCTAACCCTCAAGGACCCGAAGCTCAAGGGTTACCTAAAAACATATAATCTTTGTTGCAGGACAAACAAGTCATATGGTATGTCGATAGTTGATGCTCAAGACATATGACTGGTGACAGAACAATGTTGAGCAACTTCAAAGAAGTAGATGGACCTAAAGTCATATTTGGAGGAGAAAATAGTGGCAAGACTCGTGGAAAAGGAGACATCATCAAACAGGGAATAACCATACAAGATGTATCATATATTGATGGACTAAAGTTCAATCTCCTAAGCACAAGCCAATTTTGCGACAAAGGCTACAAAGTCGAATTCTCCAAAAACGAGTGCAAAATCGTGAACACGAAGGACGGCAAAACCGCATTAACTGGTCAACGAAAGAAAAACCTGTACGTAATCTCGTGGAATTCTTCTAATGCTAACGTTTGTTTTGTAGCTAAAAGCAATGCAGATCTCAGTCAAGAATGGCACAACAAGTTGAGTCATCTAAATCAGAAAACAATCAACAAACTTGCAAAGAAAAATCTTGTGAGAGGACTACCTGAAGCATCCTACATAAAAGACGAAATTTGTGAAGCGTGTCAAAAGGGAAAACAAATCAAATCATCCTTCAAGTCCAAAAATGTGGATGCAAACTCTCGTTCATTAAGTCTTCTACGCATGGATCTCTTCGGACCAGTTGATCCCGCAAGTCTAAGTGGAAGAAAGTATACTGTCGTCATAGTAGATGATCACACGAGATATATTGGGTGCTTTTCTTGAAGAAAAAGAACGAAACAGAAGTCATTCTCCCAAATCTCTTGAGGCAACTTCAGAAAGAAAAAGAAGTCAAAATCATTCGGATAAGATCAAATCAAGGAACTCAATTTTTAAACAAGAGCATAAAAGAATTCTATGCATAGAATAGAATCTTTCATCAACTCTCGGCAGCACGAACTCCTCAACAAAACGGAGTAGCCGAAAGGAGAAACAGAACCCTGAAGGAAGCAGCACGAACTATGATCGCACATTCAGGCTTACCAAAGCGATTCTGGGCCGAAGCCATAAACACAGCATGCTATACACAAAACAGGTCCTTAATCAACAAATCCTACAACAAAACTCCATATGAACTATGGAAAGGTAAAGTACCAAGTATTGGCTATTTTCATGTCTTTGGTTGCAGGTGCTTTATTCACAACTATGGAAAGAATCATTTGAGAGCCTTTGACGAAAGAGCAGACGAAGGATTGTTCATGGGTTATTCCTCAGTAAGCAAGGCCTTTAGAGTCCTAAATAAACGAACGATGGTAATTGAGGAATCTATTCATGTCAAATTTGATGAACTATCCGAGAAAAATCCAGCAGGTACTGAATCATCAAGTAATCCACGTCAAAACCCTCAATCAAATGAAGAAGAGGTTTCAGATGATGAAGAAGATATATTAACTTCCTACACGAAATATCAGTTGAAGATCTCTGAGCCCGAAACTACAACACAAGAAAATGGCAACGTACAACAAGTCACTCCTGATGTTCAAGCACCATCCGAACCTATGATCTACGTTCAGCTCCCTTATATTCCTGAAATAGATGCACAAAATCAGCAAAATATTCTTGAACCCGATCTTAGATGGTTAAGAGATCACCCTCCAGATCAAGTGATTGGAAATGTTCAAGAAGGTGTACGAATAAGAGCCTCTTTGCACGAAAACATGATGGCATGCTTCTTATCACAAATGGAACCCAAGTCCATAGAAGAAGCCTTAAGTGATCCTGACTGGGTAATAGCCATGCAAGAAGAGCTTCATCAGTTTGAACGAAATGATGTATGGGAACTTGTGTCGAGACCAACACATCAGAATGTTATTGGAACTAAATGGGTTTTTAGAAACAAAATGAGTGAAGATGGGCTCATTGTTAGGAACAAAACTCGTCTTGTAGCTAAGGGTATTGTCAAGAAGAAGGAATCGATTTTGATGAAACCTTCGCCTCCGTAGCTAGACTTGAAGCCATGCGAATATTCCTAGCCTTTGCAGCTTACAAAAACTTCAAAATCTATCAAATGGATGTCAAAAGTGCATTCTTAAATGGGCTTCTTGAAGAAGAAGTATATGTTGAGCAACCGCCTGGTTTCGCGGTTAACAATGAACATGAAAAAGTCTATCATCTCAAAAAGGCTCTTTATGGATTAAAACAAGCTCTACGAGCTTGGTATGATACACTCTCACACTTTCTTATTAATTGTGGTTTCACGAAAGGAGCTGTAGACAAGACACTCTTTCGTATAATAGATGATGACCATATTCTTCTAGTACAAATCTACGTTGATGACATCATCTTCGGGAGCACGAACCCTATCTTATGTGAGAAGTTCTCAAACCTTAGGCAAGGTAAATTTGAAATGAGCATGATGAGAGAACTAAACTATTTTCTGAGATTGAAAGTAAAGCAATGCTCAGATGGAATTTTCATAAGTCAAGCCAAATATACCAAGGATTTAATCCGAAAATTTGGGATTGATGGAAAAACATCTGTCAAAATTCCTATAAGCATATCTGTAATACCCAGTTATTTTATACGTATTATTTTGACATAGATATTATTTTAACCAAAACTATATTACTTTATGAGATCCAAAACTATTTGAAACTAGTCTACTATTATGTATTATTTTGTGACTATTACTATTTCTTAAGATCATATTACTAATATGGTATAACGCTTAATTTAAATCCTAAAACTAGAGTTATTAAGTCGTAATGCAAGTTTATATATTAGATAAACTTAAAGTATTAGTGTATATGTATATGTTAGCTCCGTATAGCTGAAGTCTTAATATATATGCATGTTACATATTTTTGGTCGTATATAACTTAATATCTATATTATTACTAAACCTTATTATATTAAGCTTTTAAGTATTTTAGTTCCCTACAACTAGAATTATTATTTATAATATAAGCTATTAGTTAAGTATTTAGGTAGGAGTCTAATTGTTCCCATCCTCATCAGTAGCTGATTCATTAAATCCTCCCCTTCATCATAATCATTAGTCGTTACTCTCATCGTTTTCCTTTTTCCCAATATCACCGAACACAAAATTAAAGAGAAAAATATACATAGCTGTCTTTTTTTTGTCATCACTGGCTTTGTCACCGGTCTTCTTCTGTTATCATCTGACTCTGTTCGTCGTAGGATTTCATTCAAGGATTTTGTTGATTCTGGGTCGAGGTAAGATTTATGTTCACTAAAATCCTTTTACCCCAAATCAAAAATTGATTTTTCTAATTGTTTATGTGATTCGTGATTTTGAAAAATTGATGATATTTAGTGTTGTAAGTTATTTGATTATGTTATGTTAGTAGATATATGAGTTTAGATGTTTTGAAATCCCTACACATGTGATATGGTGATTTTGTGGTGGTTAAAAAGGAAAAATTTTACACAACTTGATCATTGCCTGAAAAAATTCTGACTGGCGCAGCTGGAAAGAAAAATTCGTGAAAATTGCTTCCTAAACTTCTTTTTGCTTGAAAGTTTTTATGGATAACCTAGACTTGTTATATTTGATGTTTGTGAATGTTTCGGTTAAAAATATGTTTAGATTTTTCCAGAATAATTTCGTAAAGTTTAGGCAGTGTTGTGCATATTAAATTACAGTCTGGCGCTGTGTTGAGAAGAATTTCGGGAAAAATACTTGTAGTAGGCCTTGGATTGGCTTGAAACTTTTTGTGTGTAGACTAGACTCTTTTTACTACTTATCTGGAAAATTTCATATGAAAATACGTTACCGATTTTTCTCAGTAAATTCTGTAATTCAGGTCATAGTTTCTGAAAGTTTTTGTCAGTTTCTTATTTGACATATTGAGAAGTTGCTTGCTTGTGAAATATAATTATTGTTATCATTCTTATAAATATGGAGAGTTGTGTTCATAATAATTAGGTGTGGAATACGCTAATCTGTGTTATATCTATGAGGTTAATAGGATGTTTGGAAATATTGGTACAAAGGTTATAGATTCAGGTGTAAAGTTGAAAGTATTATTTGGTTGGAAAGATTTTGCTTTAAGTGGTGAACTTTTGAGGTTTTAGATATATATATTTTGTCAATGAAAGTGGTGTCATCTGGTGTTTTTGTGAAGTGAGCGGTTGGAATATACCGACTCACTAGGGAGCCTAAAAACTCTCTGTTTTGTGGAGTGAGCAGTTGAGATATACTGACTCACTTGGGGGTTTTATATTAACTTCCCTGTTGTTTTGAGGGGTGAGCAGTGATGTAAAAGCTGACTCACTAGGGAGCCGTGAAAACTCCCTGTTTATGAAAATCATTTTTTTGAGAATTTGAAAATCCTCCATTTGGTACCCATTTCTTCTTGGCAATTTATATATATCAAGTGTGATTGATTTTGAGAAATTTAAATGTATTATTGGAAGATGTTCTCTTGGAAAGAGATAAATTGAGAGATTGAAATTCTCTCTTTGGTAATACTATTTTGAGGTTATGTTGAGAGATTGAAATGATCTCTTTGGTTATTATTTTGAGAGTTTAAATGGAAACTTTATTTGGTTATTATTGGAAATTATTTTGGTGATTACATTATGATTATGATTTAAGGAATTGAGTAATGAGGATGTTATGAAATGTTTTGAGGTTATGGGTGTATGGAAATGTTGATAAAGGTTATATGGGAATCTTGAGGAAAGAATAATGGTTGAATGATTTTTGGATTATGGATAGGCAATGCCTTAGTCGTTTTGCTAGAAGTTTTTATGGATATTTTTGTATTTGGATGTGTGATTTCTTCAATATGTATTTCAAATGGTTAAAGTGAAAGATTATTGGTTTGTTGATGAGAATAAAAATGTTTAAGGGGTCATTCTAGATGCAAACTATCTGCTCCTATGTGCTGCATGTTATGTGCAAAATATTTTACGGGGTGAAGTAGATCTTTCAAGCTTAATGCTGAATTTATGTGTTTCTTTGTTATCTATTCTTTAATTGTTTTTGCAGGAACTCTTGCATGAGCATTGGGCATGAGAATGAGCGAACCACCTAGAGATATCATTTATTAGTTAGACAGTTGAATTGTTAATTGTTCATGTACTAGTTCATACCTTGAGTTGTTT